TTCGAGTTCTCTTCCTCTTGCGCGTCGGGAACGCGAGAGAGAGAGAGAGAGAGAGAGTTCTCGGCAGATTCCGCGAAATCCGGAGACGTTAGACCGTCTCTCTCTTTATAATTCCCAACTTTCCTTCTCCTCACACAGGAGAACTCCTCGCGATAACTTGCGCCGGTGGACCGAGTTACGTTCATCCCCGCTCGCGAAGCGCGCGTGGCCGGACGTCGGGTGATTCGTCAAAGGTCGCGCCGGTCATGCTCATTAACACGCATTCTCGAGCGGGCGAAGGTAGACGGTACACAGAGAAGGTTCACAGCGCGTGCGCGCAGGTGGACGAGAGCATCGTGCGTCGCGCGGACGTGGGCGTGGGCGGTTTGCACGCGTGTCGGAACTATCCCCCCCCTCCCGTGGCGCGTTTAACGGCCCCCTTCCTCTCTTAATCAGCCCGCTCCGACCTCGAGTCCTTCGCCTCTCTCGCGTTAATCAAGATGCGACGCGCTTCGCGGGATCAAGTCCCCTCCCTCCCTCCCTCTCTCTCTCTCTCTCTCTCTCGTCCTTCGCCCGCCTGGCGGAGGTTTCTTATTTATTGAGGAGAAACTTTTCGGAACTTTCGGAGCAAGGCCGCTCTCTCCGGCATGGCAGCGCGCTGTGACAGTCCGCGGATTTGCGATGAATTTTTTTGCACGTGTTATTCTCTCTCTCTCTCTCTCTCTCTCTCTTCTTTTTTATAAAAAAAATTCCGAACCTGACGGCGGCGGGGGAGACGGGAAAGCGGAAGGCTTTAATTGGGCGAAAAACCGGGCGTTGAATTAATCGCAGGGCCTCCGCGAAAAATTAAGATTGATCCTCGCGTGCACGTGTGGGCGTTTTCCGCGCGTTCTCCCTCGTTGACCCTCGTAGGCGTCATATATATAATTTTATATATATATATATATATATATATATATATATATATGTATACAATGTTGCGCAATGTGCGTTGCGTAACGTTAATATTGTTCGCCGGGCTTACAGATCACGATATTACAACGGTATTACGTAGCACGATGTTACACGTGTGCGCCTGCGTGGCTCAATAATGTCGCGCGCGGTCCTCATTAATTTGCTCAATGGAGCGTCAAGGTACAGGCCGGGTCAAAGCCCATCGGCTGTCCCCGACGATAGATTGAAATACGAAAGTTCAGGCCGGGAGAGCGGCCCCGCGCGTGGGCGGGCTGCTGCTCGCGGGCGTAAAATTTGCGACGGCTATCTCTCGGAAATGCCTCGTTTCCGGAAAATTGATAAAAATCTCCCCTCACGACTTAGCACCCGCTCTCGTTCCTCGTTACGCCTCATCAATATTCGGTAGCGTGACGGAGAAGAAAAAAGTGACGAAAGAGGGCCAGAGAAGCAGGGAAAGAAGAGAGGGAGGGAGGGAGAGGGAAAGAGAGAGAGAGAGAGAGAGAGAGAGAGAGAGAGAGAGAGAGAGAGAGAGAGAGAGACGACGAGCAACTGCCGATCAGGTCCCGGCGAAAGGTCAGGTCGCCGCGCTGTTTCCCGACTTTCCTGCCAAGAGTGTGTACCTCCCGCGTCGAATCTATTCCCAAGGAACGCGACCGCTTCCGATTATAGATGATTCCCTCTCTCTTTTCTCTCTCTCTCTCTCTCTTTCTCCATCTCCTCTCCTTCTCTTACCCGTGGCGCTCAGAAGCGATTCGCACGAATGAGTCCTCCGGCGAATCCGGTTGCAGTTCGCGGAAGATGCAGCGGAGCTCGTTAACGGCCAACTGTCGACCTTCGCGATTCCGGAGAGAAATAAATTGATAAGTCGCGCAACTGCGCCGCGGGTGCTGCGCGATATCCGTTCTGCGAAATTCCACCGTGCGAGAGATGCGCGCGTGGGCGTCCTCGTTGGCGGATGTGACGCGTGTATATATATATATATATATATATATATATATGTCCCGCGCCCTTTCGGAATCTCCACCGCCGACACCCGGCGACCGACCGTGCGTTTCAATTGCGATAAAATGCAATTGATTGCTTTATTTCTGATGACGAAATAAAAAGAAAAGAGAGGGGGCAAGATGGGGGAAAGACTTGCTCGAAATAGTAAACTACGCGCGCGCGCGCGCGTTACTATCACGAAAAACTCGACTCGTCCTCGGACTTTGTACGAACGACTCGACCATTCCCCGTGCGACGATTGGAAAGTTGACACCATTTTCAGTGGCTGCCTAATTCGCGCCGTTCCCCACCTCGGAGGGTAACAATCGCGGCCGTTAATGGCCTGATAACGATGTATTTCTCTACTTATACTTTTATAAAACAAAGAGAGAGAGAGAGAGAGAGAGAGAGAGAGAGAGAGAGAGAGAGAGAGAGACACAGAGACAAAGCGTCCCATCTCTCAACGTTGCCGCACAATGCCGCGTTTCGGCAACCCTTTCGAGTCGCGATTTTCGCACAATGCGCATTACGCGTAAGGGGCGCGAAATAGGCTTATCGCGGCGAGCTAGTTCAAATTTACTCAACGAGAAGCAAATCCGTCCCGCCCGACCGCCGATCGCGGCGCGGGGGTGGCGGTGCAGGCGGAGAGGCGACGGCGGCGGCGGCGGCGGCGATGGTAGTGGTGGTGGTTGTAACCCCGATAATAGCCGTTGTAAAGTGGCCACTGTATTCGAGCATCGGGTAGGAAACGACGAGGGGTGGGGCAGGGGCGAAATGGTTAATTCATGAAACGGTAACCCTTTCCGCCCCGTTCGTTTAGAACTGCCGGAATATCGACGAATCCACAGGTATTCTTTTTTCCTCTCCCTTACCTCCCTCCCTGCCTCCCTTGGCCGTTATGGTGGCTCTCTTGCAGCAATTGTACGAGCTCGCGGCTGCGAGAGACGATCGTGGAAAATTTGCCTCGACTTTCACCCCCCTCCCCCTGCACGTTACAACACAGCTAGTCTCGCGTACGTACGCCATACACGAGCGCGCGCGCGCGCGACCATCGATTCCGTGCTAATTAATTTCGCCGATTAAACAAGTGCACTCGTTTATTATTCATTGTAATGAATGAAGCTCGACGGGGTTTGTAATTAATTCTCGGCCGTAAACAGATCGCACGGTTCAACGAAAAATCGTGTCGGTCATTTGCGCGAACGGTATTAACGGCGTACCGCTAATTTGCCCTCCCCCCTCCCTTCCCCTTCCTGCCCCCATCGTACGCTCTTACTGCGCAATAATAACGTGTCCCATGGGTTTTCGTGTGTACGAAGAACGTCGGGTTTAACGTGCAAAAGAGTATTACGGCGGAAAGCTTCCGCTCGGCTTGGCGAGAAGGAGATGTCAAATATTTAAACGCTCGAAACGCATATTACGCTTTCAAGTTTCCGCGGTTGTACTTTTATCGCTCGCGCGCGCGCGTGCGCGCACGCGTGCCGTTTGTCGCGGGGCAGCCGCTAACGCGAAGAGAGACACCTCCTCGTGAAAATTCCGTTATTACCCTGATGACACAATTTATACGCGAAAAATTGCTCCTCGGGTCGTGGAGCATCGACAAATAGCCGCGGCGCGCTCGAACAAAACGTACACTCGGGACAGAGTTTGCGCGCGTTTTCTCTCTCTCTCTCTCTCCTCTCTCTCTCTCTCTCTCTCTATCTCGTAAAATATTAAAAATCGCGCGCCCCGAGGGTCTCCCCGAAAATGACGTTTTGCGAATGATCTCGATGACGATAATAATAACAACCGCAGGAAGAGAAACTGCCGTTGCGCGGCTGAAATCCTCGCGCGATAAACGAGCGATCACGAGTGCAAAAACTCTCCCGAGCGAGGTAGCTCGTGAAAACGCATCTTCGCTGGCATGGCCGACAAAAAGAAGCGAGGAAAAGAGAAGGAAAAAGTCTGATAACGGTATTAAGCGCGAGCAGATACGAGCGCGAGTCCGCGATAAATAATGAGTCGCGCGAGCCGATAAACAACCGCGCATTTCGTGCGGCCGAACGAACGAACGAACGAACGAACGAACGAACGAACGAACGAACGGACGGACGGACAGACGGATGGTTGATTCATGAAATCGTGCCCGCAAAATCGACGATCGCGGGGGGTTTTTGCGGATTCGTGTGTGCACATACGCGGGCGAATCCACAGGTTTTTACGCCGCTCGGCGTTGTCGCTCGCTTCGCCGCGTCTGCGGATGTTCTCTCTCTCTCTCTCTCTCTCTCTCTCTCTCTCTCTCTCTGTTTTCTCTCTCTCTTTTTTTCCTCTCGAAAACATTTCGTTAAGCGGATATATAGCGTGCAAGCCCGTTCGCATCGACCCGTGACTGCCATATATCGATATACGCGAATTACAGACGCGCCGATTAATATCCATTCGAGCGTGCGCGACGCCGCGTGACTTTAAAACATCGTTCCGAGCGATATTGCGCGCCGCGGTATCGCTTTAATCGCCGTCAAAACGCGGCCGCGACCGGCTTTCCGAAAATTATGCTCGCCACGGCGACGCGCTTAATCCTATATTTTGTATTCCCGTACAATAAACGCGCGCGCGTGTTTCATCGCGAGAGAAATTATCGTCGCGGTAAATATGAAATATCCTTGCTCTCTCTCTCTCTCTCTCTCTCTCTCTCTCTCTCTCTCTCTCTCTCTCTCTCTCTCTCGGGCCGAGCGCCGAGAGCGTCGGATAAAACTTGGGAGCTGTGAAAATATAAAGTCGGCCGTAGAACTTCTTGCCCGTCCGGTTTGCGGTAACGCGTTGCAACAATCGTTAATGATTCCGAGACGCGCATAACTGGCAATTTCGCACGAGGGCAAGAATAACGCGGACGCGCGCGTGCTGATTGCACGGACGCGCCAGAGCGCTCATTACGGCGCCATGTTGCAAGACATGCGGAGAGGTAACACTCGCCGAAATGCTCGTTGATGCATTCTCAATGCCGATCGCACATATTTCATTCACTGGCGATCCATCCGCGTCTTCTCCGACGCGATGCCGGGCGGAAAGTTGAAAAGGTGGGTAGAAAAAAAAGTTTTACTCACGTTGTTTGTGCAGCTCCATCGTGTTGAAGTCCGGCAACTGCAACAGAAAACATTCTCATTGGCGACTCGCGAGTGCATTTTCCACGCGCGTGACCCCGGGGGAACTCCCGGCTCGCATGCGCACGCGAGCGACTCGCGCGATCGCGCTCGGCTTATCGCTAGCCGATCGACGACGGAGCGCGGGGACGTTTCTGTCTCGGACGACTCGGTTTGTCGTTTCTGGCGGAATTTACTACGTTCCACGTGTTATCGGAGCCGCCGGATCGGCGCGGCGGCGGCGGCGGCAGTTTCCGGAAAATTCCGCTCGCACGCGCACGCGAGTCCGCGTTGGCGGACGTAATCCGCGGGCGCATTTCGCGATTTATGGCGCCTAACGCCGAAGATTCGAGGCTGCTGAAGCCGCGAAAGGACGAAGGAGCCGGGGCGGAGGTGGTGTCGGCAAATTAAACGGATCCGGGGAAATTAGTAAAGGGTGCCGCACCGCGCGAGTGTATACTTTGTCTCTCCGCTACTTGTTTCCGCATCGAGTAATTTACAACGAGACTCCCCCGCCCCCGGCCGTCCCGCCCGCCAACCCACCCCGCCGGGCATAATGGAAATTTATCGCGCGGTTTCGCACTCGGCGGTCTTCGAGCCGCGGCAGCGAAGCGACGACGTCGTCGTCGTCGTCGTCGTTTCCGTCCGGGCGACTGCCGCGCCGCGGATAAAAGCGAACGCGCGCGTCTCTTCCTCGCGCCGTAAATACACCTGGTGACGCGTGTGTAATAAACTCGAATTAACGACAGCCGCCGGCGCGGCGGACGCGCTATTAACGCAGCGATACGCGCGTTATCGCCATTACAATGCAGACACAGTTAAAGGCGGTTGTACAGTGGACGAGCGAGTGTACAGCCAGACGCGGGTAATTAAGCGGGACGCGGGCTCTAAGTCGAAACAAATGACACCACGGAGCGCTCGCTCGCCGTTCGAAAGTGGTCAGATAGTTGCTCGATGAGGTCCGCCGACAGTTCGTCGAGGTATGATGGTGGTGGTGTGAAAGCGCCTGCGCGCCGCCACCCGACCGCGAGAAATTTTGATCAGGTTCACCTAACATTGATAAAAACCTAACAGGGTGAACGAAAGGTAATACTAGGTAAGTCAGTCCTTGTAATGTTCTAACGACGAATGAGTAAGGAAGACCTTTATAAGGTTACAATGATTGGGTCCACCTCATTAGGACCTTAATGTATGATATAATATGGTCCGGTTAATCAGGTCCTTGCCGGGATCTCATTCATTGTATCTAATATGATTTGCATCATCAACGTTTCAACGAAACAATTTTTGGGTGTCGTTTCCAAATATAAAGATGTTTGCATTGAAGAAACACTTCAGATCACTTGAATATATTTGTAAAATGCTATAGAAACTATCCTTTTCTCAGCAGTCAATAGATAGCTGTAAAATTAACGTGACTTTTCTCTTTAACGCTACTTTATGTCTTGCGATACTTTATGATCTTATGATATTCATTTTATGTTTCTCTTATAATATTCATTTTATGTTTCTTTTCCGAAACATTTTACAAGTATGCTCGAGCGATCTAAAGTATTATTTCATGCAAATATCTTTTTACTTGGAAATGACATGAAAGAATTTGCAACGTGTCATTTCTTATTTCTAATGTCATCATCCAATATAGTCGTGGCGAGCAATCATTTGGCGAGCCATAATTCGAAAAAAAAGAAAAAAAAACTAATAAAGATTCCATAAGGTAACTCAATAAGAACCTGACTATGAATCCTTACTAGGGTCCAGATATCCATGCTGCGTTACCTGACTTACTAGGACCCGATAGTATTACCTTATTGGGACCTGGTGTCCGAATGAGGTTAACCTGATCAGGACCATGGGATAGATTTCTAGTCGGGCATGGCGTCGTCCGTCATCGAACCACTTTCAAAAAATCGCCGTCGCACCTCTGATGAACCGCCGCTCTGACGAACGCCATTGAACCACTGTCGAGAGTGCGACGTGTCGCGCGAGTGGCAGCCGACGAAGAGACGACGACGACGACGACGACGCCGCCGCCTCCTTCGCTCACCTGCTTGAGATCGTTCAACGGCGATCGCATCGCGCGCAAAACGCCGGCTGTTAACGCGCAACACGCGATTCCCTCTCATCTGCGAGAGAGGCGATATCGACCGATGCCGGCGCTACAATTCCGCGAGAACGGACCGCGCTATTTCACTCCGTTAAGTCCGCGAGTAATTCTCGCGACGTTCCCGACAGGGGGAAACGCCGGCAGCGATTTCGCATTCGGCCGTTATTACAATTTACTCGCGCAAAAAAGATCCCCGCGCCGCGCCGGAGAGAGACGCGGTATATATACGGCGGTCCGAATTAATCCACTTTTACGAGGCCGATTTCGCGTTCCGTCTCCTCTCTCTCTGTGCCTCCCTCCTGCCCCCCTCCCTCCCTCCCTCCCTCCCTCGTCCCGCTGTCTCTCGTCTCTCACGCCAAGCTTTTTCCCCCGCGCTCTTTCTCCCCGACGATCAACCACCCGCGGTTTCGTCCGCGCGGCCGGAAAACGGCAGCGAGCGGCGGGAGAGGGGAGGCGGGGGGACGAGGGGGAAACGGATTCATAATACGCAATGCGGTCGCTAACGCTTCGTCGTAGATCGATGCGGCGTGACAAGCGACGGACGCGCGCGCAGAGTCGCGCGACGAAAGTCGCGCCGATAAAAGTGCGCGAGGCCGAGAGAGAGAGAGAGAGAGAGAGAGAGAGAGAGATCGACTGACAAATAACGCGCATAAATTAGAGGCGAAATCGGCGGCGAGGCTGTCGGCTGATTTTTGCCCGATTAATATCGACCGACCGCGCCGGTTTCGATGACGACGAGGAGTCCCCATCGCGTTTATGCCCGCGCGATCTTCTCTCTCGCGGCGATCAATCCAAGACGTGGTGCCCTTCCTCGCCCGGCAAGATAGATTCGACGCAAATGTTCCGTGAAATAATTTAAAAAAAATGTGCGGCGCGCTCCTTTGTTTTTCTTCTTTTTCCTTTCCTCCTCCCTTAAAAATAGACTCGACGCGGATCTTCTCGCGTTTCTCACCGGGCGATCGTTACGAAATAAAAGTCGCGAACGCGACTTGCAAAAGACGATGGCCGGCGCTAACGACGCAGCAGACGACGATCTCTCTTTGAATCGATATTATATCGCGGTGGTATTTACCGGTCCGCGCGCTCGGATTAACTTTGGCCGCTTTGCGCGCTCGCACAGACGCGCGCAAAGCGGTCAAGCTGCGGACAGTTTTCAACGTCAGACAAGTGTCACCGCATAAAGGACGTCGGCTAAGAAGAACACCCCGAATTAAACCGGTGCTTTTACGAGCCCTCCTCTCACTCTCTCTCTCTCTCTCTTTCTCTCTTTCTCTCTTTCTTCGCCCGACCTGCTCCAACCCTGTCGTCGACCCTGCCTGCCTGCCGGCCGTCGGCGGCGTTATGGCCGCTGCTGCAGCTTTTGAGAGCGGCGAACGCTTGATACGCTGCCAAGTAGCACGAGACCTAGCTCGAATTAATGCGATCCGAGACATTTCCCATTCGCCCGACATTATCGCTCCGGAATTACTCGCCTGTCGGTATCAAACGTTTCAAAATGGCGAGGGGACCCCCCGTGTTTCAACGACTGCGAGAGCCGACTGTTAATTCCAATAATCAATTAGACGATCGATCGAACGCGCGCGCGCGCGCGCGCGCGGCAAACGTGTCGAAACCAATCATTTCGCGGCGGTGCTTGAAAATGGCGCGTCCGAATCCGCGTTGGGTCGCGTTGTCCGAATTTAAATTGAACAGCAATACACCACGCCGGAGTTGTAAGACGCGCGCGATTAAACGTGCTACGCACGCGACCAATTAGACACGACGCCTTATCTTCTTCGTGCGCGGCGGCAACTCCGGAGCTAATAAACGCGCGCGCGCGGATGTTTCTCGCTCGCACCTCTGCGAGAGAGCGTTATCGCGAATCTACGCGGTACATCATTGTTATCGTCGCGATTTAACGCGAGATTAGCGCTCGCATCTCCGACTCGTAAAATGCTAATTCGCGTAAATAAGACGTTACGCGACGCTCCTCTCTCTCTCTCTCTCTCTCTCTCCCTCTCACGACGCAACCAGCTGTCGTTCGCACACGCACGGGGCTACGTGCGTTCGCGCGCGACACGCACACAATCGCACGAACGAAAGCTTGACACCGTGCCAAGTGGCACGAACGACACAATCCGAAATGTCGCTACGGCGATCGATATCGCGCTCGCGAGTTATCGCGCGCGTTTCACGGGAGACGCGCGTTTCGCGCGGCCGACGCGGCGGCGAGCGCGCGAAAAGTCAATCTCGCGTTTCGCGCTCAGTTCTCGCGAAAAATCCGGCTTGTCTATCGCGCGGCCGACGCTCGCTCTCATGCGCGCGCGCGTTCTCGATAACGAAGCCCTCGGATTGAAACGTTCTCACGAGTGTAACGAGCATGCTTGGCTCGCTTTCAACCACGAGCCATACTCGTCGGAGCGTAGCTATCAATTGTCACACCGATGATCGCTGTGGTCATCGAGAACACGTACTCAGCGCCCGGCCGCCGCAGTGTTAGTCCTCCGAATTATTCGAAACGCGTCGCCGGCGATCGGTGCGAACGTGTGCGTGTGTGTGCGTGTGTGTGTGTGTGTGTGTGTGTGTGTGTGTTCATCGTTGCCGCGCGCGCCCGCGATAATTTCGATACTTTGCCTCGGCGCGCTTCGTTCATATCGAATAAAACGCTTATTTTTATCTTCCGAATCCCTCGCTCTCCGGCGCGGCGTCTCCGCCTGTTTTCGCCCGCTCGCGTATTTTATCGCGTTTCTCTCACACACACACACGCGCGCGCGCCAGAGGAAGAGATTACTTTTAGACGCCGAGTGTCGCGAAGGCGTAGATTATGGGATTATCGGTCGCGGCCAGCGACGAGAGAAAATTCACGAAGCCGTGAATGTCAGAGCTCTCTTTCAGCGTGGCGAACGCACACCCCGCCGCCGCCGTTTGCCATTTTCATCCGCGCGATAAACGCGCCGGCTAATAAGACGAGAGTACATAAATAATAAATCGATCGATTCTTACCCTCGGCGGAAGGGTGAAGGAGAACTTGGACTCTTGGAGCTCCTTCCGCGGTGTCTGCGCGATCGCCGTCAGAGGCGTGAGTGGCACCATCATCTCCTGAAACCAAAGAAGAACGCGCGATTATAGCGGGCAGAGGGTTTACATTGATCATCGTCATTTCCATGTCCTTCCCCTCTCTCTCTCTCTCCCTCTCTGTCGTTGACTCGTTCGAGCGAGTCAACGCGCCGAGGTCGCCCGTGAGAAGCAGGATGCCTCTCTGTCGCAATGGCGCAAGTGTCGAGAGATCGCGACGTGGACAAAGAGACGAGAGAGAACTCGCGAGAGCGAGTGACGAATCGACCTCCCTCTCTCTCTCTCCCTCTCTCTCTCTCTCTCTCTCTCTCTCTCTCTCGGCCGCGCACTTGTCGGGCATACAACGGGAGAAAGATGCAGCCGCGATTCGACAACAACACGTTTGCGTAATAACGCGCAACTGGGGCACGATTACGTCAATGTCCACGAGCGGAGTCTCGCCGGACGAATTCCACGCGAGCGTGAGCACCTACGCAACGCCGTTCTTATTAACGCACACAGGCACGCACGCACGCACGCGCACGCGCGCGCGCGTCGTTAGAGCGGTCGAAGTACTCACGAAGCGATCAACTCTGTCCGACTGCGCCGTAAATATTATCCGGCATTCCTCGGCGCAATCCGTCGCGCAAGAAAGAGACACGACTGTTTCGTTACACTCGTCATCTCGCAGCTGCGGACAGCTGCGAATATAACACGCGGTGATAACACGCGACTAATGCGCGGTTAAAAATCTCGGTTCGATGTAAAATTGTCGCGTGAACCCACCACCCTGCAACAACCCCCTCCCCTCCGCCCCCCATCCGCATCCGCCTGTGACGACGATTTTTTCCCGCCGCCCTGGGCGTTCCTCTCTCTCTCTTCCTTCCACCGAGTCAATTTATTTTCCACATTGTGCTGCGCGCAAATGACAAACGCGCACGCAGGTGCGCGCGCGATGGCGGGCTCCGTGTCGGCACGAAGTCGCAAACTCTCGAACAATGCGCCGCGCCGCGCCGCCGGTGGAAATGCGTCTCGTTCGATGCATCGGGAACGCGGCGGCGCGACGACGCGACGCGGCGCGGCGGGCCGATTCATTGACCCGCCGAGAGACATTCGTTGACGGGAAACAAAGAGCCGACGAGACAAAAGCCCTCGGCGAAATGCTTACGTTCTTACGGTGCGCGATCGGCGGCGCACTCGGCTCGCGGAAAATAAAGTCCTAAAAGCCGGAAGGGACGCCGAAAGAGGACGGGGAGAGGGGAAGGGGACGTTCTCGACGGTCTCGTTGGGCAATTACTGAGCGAACTGGATCTCACATGAGCTCGATTGTAAACGATTTACATGTAAACGTTGCGCGCGTCCTCGTCGTCCTCGCGAAATTATCCCTGTAGACAATTGGACGCGATTATAATCGGACAAAGATGAAGATGTAAAATCGAGGAAGGTGAAAATGAAGAATGACTCGTGCGAATTTGGCGATGGCGCGCGGATTCTTCACGAGGCCTTGCCTTGCTCGTGTTGCTCGCAGGACGGGCCGGCGCGTTCGTAAAGTTTCAAAACTGACGTTGTGTATTATCGTTACGGATAAAAAGAGGGAGAGACGATTCCACCTGCCCCCTCTTTCTCTCTCTGGACTATTTTTATCGCGATGCTCGCGCGGTGATTCAAGCCCGAAGGAGACTTCTTGCCTATAATTTCGCCCGTAATTTACCGCCGCGGCCAATTTAACGGCCGGCTGCTTGCGGTGTAAAGAAAAAAAAATGCCGATTCGGTCGCATCGCGGACGTTTTGCGGTCGGATTGCGGGAATACGCGAGCGCGGTAATATCAATAATGTCGCGTCCGAGGGAGTGTATTGTTCTAAAAGAAAATTGCACCGCAATTTCGTCGAATGCGAGCGTCGTGCTCGCGATCGCGACTGTCGTATTAATGCGGTTTGCGGAATAGCGCGAAGCGACGGCGCGTCCCCGCGCGAGACGGAAACAAGCGCTTCACGCTCTGGATACGCGTCTTCTCCGTCGGTGCTCGCTTCGAACAATCGCTTGCGCGAAAACTATAAACGAGCAACAAGTGCCGTCGTCGTCGTCGGAGTGCTATCGCCGATGACGACGATAGCAACGATAACGCGCGTGTGTCTCGATAAAAGCTCGATTGCGATTAAAGTTAAAGCGCGCCGGCTCGGCGACTGCCTGTCGATCAACTGCCCCCCGAACGACCCCTCTCTGCGATCTGTCGCGACAATTTTTAATGGGACGTCAAATAACACCGCAAAGTTACACTCGACGACGTCGTTTGAAGTCCCAGCGCGTGTCGAGAGCGCTGCTCTCCCTCTCTCTCTCTCTCTCTCTCGATGTACGTTCTATTTTTCTGCTCGCGAATCCTCGCGGCCGGACAAAGCGTTCTGCGCGGGATTCTTTCTCGATCCGCAGGCAGGGGGGAGGGGGCGGCGGGACGTCGATCGAATTACGCGAGACTCGTGGACTCGTTGCAGGCATAATTATTCGGCGGCACACGCTGCTCCAGGCCGCCGTCATTACCGTGGAAAAACCGATACTCAATTATCGACAGGCGACGGTCGCGCGCGGAGTATCGCGCAGAAAGTGAGTAATCGTCAACCCTCCCCGGAGCGCAATTTAATTTCGACTGCAGATCCATTGGTCCGTGAAACTTGTTACTCCGGGATGGAAACGCGACGCCACGACGTACCGATAAAAGTCGACGGGTTCGCAGGAAACGGACGAGAGCAGCCGAACGCTGCCAGCGGAGGGGCGGGAGGGGGGGGAGAAGGAGGACGGGAAAGGGAGCGAACCCGGGCGAATATTGGCGAGAGCTGCGCGCCCAGATCGGCAAGATTATTTCACTCGCTGTGCAGAGAGTGAGAACGCGTTCCCCCCGCCCTTCGCGTCCCTTTCTCCTCGTCCCTTCGAGAGATTGTCCTTGGAGAACATCCCAGCGCCGAAACGCTGCGCCGCGCCGGCGACGTCGCGAAGCGTCGCCTCGCACGCGCGCGTTATCTCGGCAGATTTTGCTACTCGAAACGCTTGATAAAGTTATTACGACCGCTTCCCCGTCGCTGCTATCTCCATCTCTCTTCCGCTCTCCTCCGCTCGCGACCGCGGCGTCTCCTTCGCGATTCACGCTTTCATTTTCTATCAGGCGCATCCTGCGATCCCCCCACCGGTTGTTCCGCGGCGGAAAAGCACTCTGGCGAATCAATGGTTGATATTCAGGCCTGTGACGCGGGCTCCCTCCCCCCCCCCTCTGTTGCGCTCTTTAGAGTTAATCGCGTTTGTTATTCCCGTCGGGACGCGTGCAGTTGCAGTTGCATCGCACACACGTGACGCGCGTGCGGCATCGCAGCGACCGGCGCGTAAGGACGAAGCCGGCTCGAAAAAGGACTCGCATACCGAACGAGCGGGAAAAAACGAGAGAGAGAGAGAGAGAGAGAGTGAGAGCGGGCGCAGAAGGGAGAGGAATTCTCGAGGGTTGAGTCACTGCGCGCGCGGGTCGTCGCACGAGCATGTTTCGTGCGGATGATTTACGCGGGCCGATAATTTATTTGCGCGCCGCACGAAGGACGAGACATCGAGTTATGCAAATTGCACGCCGCGGATGAGGAATTTATAGCGGGGCAACGATATCAGCTGCAGCGGGGGCGGGGGAGGGGGAGGGTGAAATAAGCGTCGAATTCCCGATGAATAATGGACGGACGCGCGCGCGACGCTCCGCTAAGATTCGTCGCATCGAGGAGACAGAAGGAGGGCCCCTCCTCCCCCCCCCCGCCGCCGGGAAGGTCCAGCGGTGAAGAGCGACCAGAGCCGCGGCTGTGGAGAAGCGGGGAAACGTAAACGCGACGCACTGGCAAATAAATATCGCGCGAAACGCGCGGCCGTTTGTTGCGCGGGTCAACGCGAGATTGCGGTCGACCCGGTGACGACGTCGCGCAGCAGCGCGACGTTCGGCAAAAAAATCCCCGAGCGAGAATTCGCGGCTATTTTTCTGTTGTCGGGGGCGACGGGAAGATGATAAGTCGCGTCGCGTCAAGGCCGCTCGAGTTGAAATCTGAATCAACAGCGGCGGTCGATGTGAAGCGGCGCTCCCCGCGAAACCCGAAGCGCTGTCGGCTATTTTCTGCGCGCGCCCGTAAAATCGAGATGTTGACAGAAACGTCCGAGAGTCGCGGCGGAAGGGCGATCGCGACGACGTCTTCAAATAGGCGACGTCGCTGAAAAGTATCGGTGAGAGAGCAGGGAGGGCGGGAGGCAGGGGAGAACGTGAGCACTTTATTTCCGAGCACTTTATTACGGCAGGTCTTTAAAACCGGCCGCGGCGGACGGTACGACAATTATGCCGGGCACGCGAGAGGGAGGGAGGGGGGGGGGGGAAGAGACGAGCCGCGGGAAAAACGAGCAAGAAGCTGCGAGACCGCGGCGAGAAATTTGCAAGTCGCACCTGTTCGTTACGCTAAAGTGCAACTTTAATGCATCTTACCGCCGCGATAAGTTGCGCGCTCGCGTGTGTGTGTGTGTGTGTGTGTCCCCCCCTTCTGACACGTTAACGGATTAACCGTGTAACGTCTAGCCTTTACATGAGACTTTCGCTCCTGCCCCGCGTGACACACATATAAACACAGAGGGAGAGAGAGAGAGAGAGAGAGAGAAAGAAGGAGAGAAAAAGGTGCGCCATAACCCCGCCGCGAACGTGCAAAAAATGGAATTAAACCCGCCTCGCTCGCTCGCTCGCGACGACACACTCCGACGACGTCTCAATGTCAAGCGCGAGCAAAAGGCGCGAAGATTGAATCATCTTCGGAGAAACTGGCCCTTAGGCGAGAGAGCTGTCAAGGGAGGAGAATCCGTCGTCGTTGTCGTCGTCGTCGTCGTCGTCGTCGTCATCGATCCTCGCGCGCGTCAAGTTCCATCCACCGACAACTCGCTCGACGACCACTAAACGAGGCGAAGTGTGAGCCGTCCGCGCTGTGGCGCGCGGTCCTTCCGAAATTTCACGGCGCGGCCCAACCGTGCGCGGACGCAAATTACCGTACAA